ACAAGTGAGATAACGAAATATTTAATCTCTAATCAATATTTTTTGTCCAATTATTTGCCCAGTTAGTTTTGGTATTGAGGTAAAAGTTACCTTGCATTCGCTATATAACAGTGGGTGGTGGTCACGAAGATGACTGAGCAAATTTGATGCATTTCTCCCTTTTGCAGCTACTTTCTTCTTGCAAGATCAGCAGACAGGGTGACCGTCCTCGATTAAATTGCCTTCAGGACTCTTGTAAAAGCCAAAATACGACCAGACCTCCGATTTGGTCCTCTTAGATGGCTGAAAAATCTCCCGAGCGCTGTCCACTGCCTTCCGCCATTTCGTCTCGTGCAAAAAAACAACAACAACACTGCATGCTGCTTCTGCATCAGACTGATGCTGGCTGGACAGGATTTACCATGAGTTTTCAAAATCGCGATAATCAAACACGGTTTTGATGATAATTACATTTTAAACGATAATACTAACCGTCCAGGCATTTTATCGTGAAACCGGTAATCGTTCCATCCCTAATACAGTGAAACCAAAAATGATTCAGAGACCAGATATCATTTTTTATATTTTTTTTTTACTAGTGGGTGCAGGACACTATAGTTCATTTATGTAAGTGAGGATAGCAAAATAAAGTAAACTGTGACAAATCATACCCAAAAATTCTTCATACAGTGGACTACCAGTAAAACTGATACAAATTTGGGTCCAAAAATTATTCAGACCGAGTCTGGGGAAAAAACTGAAGTTGAGGTTTGCATGAAGCTGGGTGACAGCATACCCAGGAGACTACAGGCTGTCATTAAGGCTAAGGGTCACCCGACAAAGTATTGATAGTTGTGTAAATACTGTCATACTAACAGCTGTCTGAATTGTTTTGGTTGATTGTAATCTATTACATACCTTTCTATCAAAATGATCTAACATTATCAAGATGAATTTGTTCTGACACAGTGTAACTCTGAGTTCTTGTCATATTTTATTACCATTTTCTAAACTATAGCGAATAAACTGTGATAATGTGAGAAATGTTGAAGGTGTCTGAATAAATTTTGGTTTGACTATCTATTTGATAAATGAAGTTAACCAACTAACATTATACATACCCTTTTGGTTTCTGTACCCAATATTTAAAAAATGTACAAATGTCGTACAAATATCGGTATTGGTACTCGGTATCGGCAAGTACCAAAAATAAAAGTATCGGTATCGGGCGAGTACTGGAAAAAGTGGTATCGGTGCATCCCTATATTACACTTATATTAGATTTCAAAAGCAGGCAATTTGTATGCTATTTGAGTCGCCGACACGCGTTTTGCTGTAGTAACATTAATGATAAATCAATTAATAGATCAGTCGATTATGACATTTCTGGAAAATTGACAGGGTCACATATGACCCCTGACCTTTAAACCTATTTGTAACGCAGTTGACTTACAGTGCAGCGAGGGCAGATCCATTCTCCGTTGGGAATCTCGGGCAGCGGTGGGTTAAGGCAGTGGATGTGGTATGATGAGGGACAGGAGTCACAGCACAGCAGCTCTCCGCCGTCTTTACACACCCTACAGAACTCCATGTGATGGTCGTCCTCCGCCGCCTCTCCTCCCGCCTCGTTATCCTCCTCGCCGTCTGACGCGTCCTCACGAGCCTCCCACTGGATGCCCATCTTCTCCTGAAAGAGGAAGAGATGATGCTGAGCACAGTGGCACATCAGGGCTTGACATGCAGCTCTTTGGACAAAACCAAACATTTGCGAGGGCAGCTGCTGCAGTTTTAGATTGAACTCATGTGGAGATTCAGAGCTGGTTCACTCACACAGTGTGGGCAGCTCCAGGTGCCCTCCGGGGCTTTCTCCATATCAGGGTCCAAGCAGACCATGTGATAAGCTCGTGGACAGGTGTCACAGAGAATGATCTCTCCTCCCTGCTGACAGACCTCACAGTAATCCTGATGATCCGTCTCATATCCATCACCATCATCATCACCTAGCAGAGAAAGAGAGAGGCTACATTAATGACTGATAGGATGACCCTGTGATTTCTGTGACGTTTCATTGGACGGAAATGCGGAATCCAGTCAAAAAAAATTTATTAACAGTATAACACAATGTCATAACACTTCAAGAAATTGTAACGGAAATAAATATTACTATTGTACAGTTCCTTCTTAAAGTAATAATACAATTAAAACTTTATTTTAAGGAATATCACCTTTTTTCTTCCATGTTTTAGTTTTAACAGTAAACATCTGTCAGTCAGCAGTGAAAATTTTCATTTATGTAAAAAAAAAAAAAAAAATGTATAATTGAATTGTTAATGTTTTAAGCCTTCATTTGACTCCCACTCTTTATTAGGGCTGTCAAAATGACTGAAAAACTAAATTCGAATTTTCCACTTAAATATGATCAAAATTCGAATTATATTCTAATTTAAAAGGCATAATTTCAGTTAGGGGGGAAAAAAGCTTTTGGCTTCTCTCCTGAGGCCACAAGAGGGCGCATCGAGCAAAATATTATGCACGTTTCTTCAAAGCATAATAAAATAACACGACTATCTTTGAAAAAAAGTGCATAATGTTTAAAATAATGTTTATAAACCATATATAATTAATAAAGTTGCTTAAACATTTAGAAAAAAAACACCGCCATGCATGTATGGATAGTTTAATACAAAGGACCGAAAATGGATACATTAATTGTGTTTATTAAAAAAATTTTTTTTATTAAAGTAGAAATCAGTTTACTAAATAATGTAAACTTGACTGACTGCTTCACTTCCACTTTAAAGGGATATTTATGTTGTTTATTATTTATTTTTATTTATACCATTTATCATTTTTGTACAATTACTTGCCTGTCAGTTGAGTTTGTGGCAAAACATTTTGCAGTGTTTGCATGTTGTTTATTACTGCATAAAATGTATTCAAATAGATGTTTAATTTCATAAAGTACAAGTTGATTTCAAAATGCACCTACTTTTTTTCATTTTGTGTTTTTCAGTTGAATAAAAGACAATTTTTCCCTATATATTTCATCATTGAGGATTTCTTTTAAAAAAAGTCAAAAAATCTTCTCGTCTCACTGTCGTGTACCCAGTCTCGTGTCTCGTGGGATAAGTGTCCCGTCACACCCCTATAAATTTTATATGGCTTTCTAAACATGCCGCTCTCTTGTGCGAGACGCGAGTGCAACGCTGATAGATGCCCCGCTAGAAAATGTGATAAATATGCGTTCTGTGTGAACGGCTTGGTTTCAGTTTCACCTTAAACAACATCTTCGCCACACTGATGCTCTCGTTTTCCACAATATATTGAATGAACAATGTAACAGCGCTGCATCTAGTGGGTTCAACTGGATAGGCTAACAAAAGCATTAAAATGCAATGACACTTTTTGTCGTCGCATTTCATGCGCCACTGATAATGCTGCCTGACGCAGACCTTTTTTTTTTTTTTTTATATTCGACAAATATTCGAAGTTCGAAAAAAAATTTGACAGCCCTACTGTTTATGATAATACATTTATTTCAAATCATAAAGAAAAACTAAAACAGGCACAACACAATTTCAGGGGGAAAAAAACATGTCATTGGGACATTTCTTGTAAAAAAAAAAAAAAAAATGTAATAAATGACTAAACTGTTAAAACTGCATGAACTCAATAGATCAGATATACATTTCTGATTAGTAAAAAAAATAACTAAATCATTAAAACTAGAAAAATTTAGATGGAAAAAAAGGAGTCCAGAACAATTTAAATGGGGGAAATAGTCATTTGGGGAATAAAAAAAATTAATTTGGGAGAAAATAAAACTGATTTCATTTTTATTTTTAGGGGAGGATCTCTAATTTCACAAACACTTCAGTCTAGGCTTTCCAAATATTCCCGACGGTTTTAGTATGTACAAGATGCACGGTTTTCCAAATCAGTTCTCTCATGAATGCAACAAAAACTAGAAAATCTTTGCTCTCTGAAGGGGTTATATAATGCCGACAAGGCCTTTCCTTGGCCTGATTAAGCCTATTAGTTATTCACAAGCACAGATAGAGAGAAAACAAGATCCTCACCTTTTTTCGTCTTCTTTTTGGGCTTCTTTTTAGTGCTGCTGCGACTACTGCGGCTATTTGATCCATTCGAAACGGACACACTGTTCATACTGCCATCATCAAAGTCACTGTCCACGTCAACATCGTCCTCTTCACTCTGAAAAAGAGAAAAGGAGATGGAGGCTGAGAGAAATGCACCATGAGCCTGATAAATAACCAGAAAATTACTTGGATTTCATTAGCAAGATGCTATGTTTCAAATTAGAGCAGAGCGAAGAAAAAAACAACATCGTTCATTGGGTTGCATCACTTTTGAATAGTGGCTGACCGATATATCGGCCGATATCTGCCATTTTTCAAATATCGGCAGATACGTTTTTCTGTTTAGCCGATGTGTTCGAGGCAATACTTCACCCAAATGGCAGCCATTGACTTCCATAGTCATACTATGGAAGGCAATGGCTACCTTCAACTGTTTGGTTACCAGCATTTTTCAAAAGATCTTCTTTTGTTTGTTTTGTTGAAAAGAAAAAAAAACTCATACCGGTTTGGAACAACTTGAGGGGGAGTATATAATGACAATTTAAATTTTTCAGTGAACTATCCCTTTAAGTGTCTTTTAAAACTCCAACTTAGCAAGCCAAAGGTGACAATGGCAAGGAACTCAAACTCCATCAGGTGACAGAAATGGGGCTTTTCACACTGAATGCGAAAATTCGGCGTGAATGTTCGGCACGATGACGCTTTTGAATCGAAACAATAGATCCCTATGGGGCTATTCACACCAGGAGCAATCATTCGTGGTGCGAAAAAGCGAAGATATTTTTTTTTGTCCTGTGTGTCGATTTTTCCCCCCCCATCGCTTCGATGAAACGGGCCGTCCAATCAGATTTGAGCTTAGATCACGTGTGTGGAGCAGCTGCTGTTGCACAAAAAGGCAAAGAGTGGTGGCGCTGTTTCGAAAACTAGTGTAAATAAATACAACGAAGAATAGTATTCCGAGCGATTCCGAGAGAGAAGAGAGTGGATGCCGAGTTCTTGTTATCTTTGGTATCTGAGAACAGATTTATTCGCACATGTTCTTAATATAATTTCTATTAATTCTCCAATGAATTATGTGAGTGTCCGTTTTTTTTCTTCCACGTGTGCAAGTGTTATACGAGTCAGAGCGCGTTAACTCTAGATCTTCCGTATTAAAAGAAATTGAGTGAAATATATTTCTACAAAATAGACATATGATTATGATGATATATTTTCTGTATGTATTTTGCAGCTCATGGTATTTTTATAACAATAAAGGATGTTTATTAAACAGACAAAGAGTGCATGTCTGCTTATTATAGAATCAAAATCAACTATAGATCACAATCGGAAGTCATTACAAGCACTCAGTGATGAGGGTTTTAAGCAAAAACATTAATAACTAATGTACACAAATTTTCAAATGTGGCTTGATGCTACTTCTGTTTGTATTTTAAGATGTTTTCATGTAAGCATTATAGATAGTTTGTGTTTCTGGCATAGAACCAAACTTTATTTATCTTAATTTAATGCTGTATATTGAGCAGCGGACGATGTTAAATCCATATATGAGACGCATATATGTTTTGCTGGTCGGCGCCACCTAGCGTGCAGGCGTGAATTAGCAGAAGGCGAGCAAACGTTTCGCGCTCGGTGTGAAAGCAACGTCCGACGGCGATTCGCCTCGCTTTTTCGCATTGCGCTCAGTGTGAAACGGCCTTTAGACATGCATCTAACATACTTTTGTCAGACTAGACACCAAGTTATTTATGATTATGATGAGCAAATATTGCAAGTTATGAGATACCACTTCTAATATGTCCACAAATGAAAAAGCAGCAGTTAAAATCAGCATGAAACATTGAAATCATGCTTTCTTTCCTATTGTGACACATGAAACAGCTTCTCGAATGAGAGAAAGAAAAAAGTAGGGTGGGACTCCTTAAAATAGCTTAAAGATTGTGAGACCACATGGACTTTAATAAAAGTAATGTTGTGCACAGCTAAATCATTTATAATAAACACTTCAATATTACATTAAAAAAAAAAGTACTGTCAATTTTGTTTTAATGGTGATGAAAAGCGTTCAATGATTTTTCTCATGTGTGGATGACGCACTCATACCTGACGACCTGGCTGAAGGCTTTGTAGTTGGTCAGAGTCCTATAGTCTTCCTCAGTGAAGACATGATCGATGTCCTCCATACCCCAGGTATCCAAAAGCTGAGAGGAACTTTTTGGCTCCTTAAAATCAGTTCAGAAAAACACGTCTTATAGAACTGAGTGATTCAATTTATATTTACTTTGTCATGCCGTTAATTTAGCTTTTAATTTAGAACTCACAGCATCGTCATCATCCTCGTCTTCCTCTTCCTCAGGTTCTCTCCGTTTTGAAGCGGCTGAGTTTCTGTCGGCACCAGAGCTGCTTCTTTTTTTGTCCTTTGTGGTGCAGGCTCTTTTCTTCTTTTTCCTGCCAGGCGTGTAGTCGCTACCCTCGCTTTCTGAACGGTCTTCACCATCGTCCGGATCAGGGCCTTCCACTGGCTCCGGAGAACTGATGCCGATATCCTGGAGAACACACAGGACATACTTTTGATCAGTTTTGGATGCTGGTAAAATCCCTAGTCCATTGTCCAAAACAGGATCTTAGGATAAGGTTTATATTACTGTATTATACTATTCAAAGGTTTGAACTTCGTAAGATTTTTAAAGCATTTAATTAATCAAAAGCGACAGTAAAGACATGTTACAAAGCTTTTTATTTTACATAAAGGCTATTCATTTGAAATTTCTATTCAAAGAATCCTAGGGGGGGGGGGGGGACAGTATCTACAAAAATATCAAAGCAACACAAATTATTATTCTTATCAAATAAATGTAGCCATGGTGAGCATAAAAGACTTTCCTTCAGAAAGATTAAAAAATCTTACTAACTCAAAGCATATCACCATTTGTTAACACTTTTTCCTTCTTTTAAAACAATTTTGAAGGACAGTTCCTTTTTAAATATACAAATATCTAATGTACATAAACACTAACATATACAGCCATAAAATCAGCAGGCATAACTGTAAAATAATTAGCAAAATGTTTAATTCAAATAGTTTTAAATTTAATCCTGCAGGAAATATCAACTACCCAAAAACATAAAAATAGAGGAAATAAATCAATTTGTTGTTAGATGATTTATTGCAAATTTTTATTTGAAGAATGTATTCATTGCATTAACCAGCAGCCAATCATACATTTTTCTACATAGTTTTTAAAGTTAAAAATCAATGGCAAAGCAGTCATGATAAATGCAAAACTTTAAAAACAAAAAAGCAGCCTAGTAATCATTTTAGGCTTCCTGCATAACTCTAGCATTAACTATTATTGTCCATTATGACATTAGTATCACAGTCTCAGTTCTCAAGCAAGCAAAAATCCCATCCAACTTGTGCATGAGCTCGCATTCATACAAAGTCCTTTTAACAACCACTTATGCCGTTACAAAAACCAGTTTGCAATCTTTACATGAAATGACTCAGCTTGTATTATAAGATTAAAACCTGACTAGTATATACTGTTCAATATTTAAAAAAAAAAATAAAGGGATCACTTGACCAGTTAGTCAAGAATCAGATTTTGCAGCACGAATGAAATGTTGAAATTTGGATAGTAGACTACATGACCCAACAAAAGCACTTAGTTTTTTGAACACAACAGCAGATATTATTAATGAAGCAGTCGGATCTGGATTCAGTGGCTAAAAAAATGGAATTATGTACCTTTGATATTAACAGTCATTAGGACATGTGATCCCATTTGCGGCGCCAGCTAAATTGCTCTGTTTCTCATTAAGACACTGTGGGGGAGGTTTCTAATCCATAACATAAGGACAGTGAATATTGCATTCTCCAAGGATATCACACACAAACAATATCCACACACACACTCACAGAAAAGGCCATTACCTCTCTCCGGGAGCGATTCCTCTTGCTGCCTTTGCTCTCGCGGCTACTTTTTTTGGCTTTCTTCTTCTTTTTCACCTTTGGGGCATCATTTTCTGACAACTCCTCGTCCAGGTCATCCTCGTCTGCGGAGCAAACACACAAATCATTTAATAAATGATTTTAATTTCAATAAATTGGTTTCTAATCCATAACATAAGGACAGTGAATATTGCATTCTCCAAGGATATCACACACAAACAATATCCACACACACACTCACAGAAAAGGCCATTACCTCTCTCCGGGAGCGATTCCTCTTGCTGCCTTTGCTCTCGCGGCTACTTTTTTTGGCTTTCTTCTTCTTTTTCACCTTTGGAGCATCATTTTCTGACAACTCCTCGTCCAGGTCATCCTCGTCTGCGGAGCAAACACACAAATCATTTAATAAATGATTTTAATTTCAATAAATGATTATTATTTAATTTATTTCAATTATTTAAAGTGTAATTATTTTTCCCTTGATAAATTATTCTATCCCAGTCATTCGGGTAAGACTTATTCTATAAATATTAATACAAATAATTGCACTGAGAAATAGGCCTACCTACTTGTTTTAATATTTTAAACTCAAACATTAAGCCTGCATTTTTATGTGAAGATTTAGTCCATATATTCACTATGAAATTTCGACTGATTTTCCTCATTGTCAGAATAGGAAATTACCATTTTAAAAGTAAAATAAATGAATTAAAAATAAAATAAAATTCATGAGCATGCGAACCCTGTAATTAGAAAAAGAGCTGCTCAGATTAATCCAATCAATCATCAACTCAGTGCGTTAATAGTAATAGGACAGCAATAGATTAGTCATCTACAAATCTATTTTAGTCATTTGATCTGGGTCGGTTCAAAATCATCCTGTGCGCTATACAGTGAGAAGATGTGTCAATTACACTGTGATCTCACTGTGACAAGGGAAGTATTAAATGGCCGAAGAAAAATCACTGATACAAGTGACCCCGAGCATCATAATCAGATACAATATTGTTGGTAACAGGACTGCAAACACTGAACTTAAGGACATGTCATTTTGTGCCACTTCTAACAGCTGCATATGGCACTGATTTTACTATGTCTGTTTAGTGAAGTGACACTGTTGTTATTATTATTCCTCTGTCAGTCCTTGACTACATTTTCCCACGGATGACAGTAATCGGATAAGATCTTAATGGACTTGCCTCGAATTTCATTATGAAAAACAATATACTGGCTTTTCTCCAGGTACCACAGTATATTAAAGGGGTCATATGATGTGATTTCAAGTTTTCCTTTCTCTTTGGAGTGTTACAAGCTGATTGTGCATAGATAAGATCCCTGAAGTTGCAAAGACTAAAGTCTCAAAACCAAAGAGATATTCTTTATCAAAGTTAAGACTCTGCCACGCCCCCCTAAAACGGCTCGTTCTAACACGCCCCCACATATCTACATCACTATGTGGGAATATTTGCATAATGCCGCCCAAATGTTCACGCAAAGAAAGAAGGTGTGGTTTCAGTAACTGCAGTTAGTGTTGAAGCAGCATGTCAGGGAGACGCTGTGTGTTTCAGTGCGAAAGCAAAAGCACTTTATTTGGCCTTCCGGAAGTAGATGCATTTAGGAATCTTTAAGATTACTTACAACAGAACAGCAATGCATTTTATGGACGACTGTTTCGTGAACCTAGGAGAGGAGGTAATTCTGACTTTGCTATGACAATCTGGCGCTTCTGAATCAGCTACTGTTTTGTTATTGACTGTTCAAATGCGGAGTTTTGCGCATCGTGTGTGCGAGAGAGAGAGAGACACAGGGTCACACAGTCTTAACCGTGGCTTGTGTACTGCAAACACATACCAGCTTCATCACTGTGTCTGTCACGCGACTCTGCTCCCCTTTCGGGCTCTGTCTTTACATTTATTTTGAAAGATGAAGCTCGTGATTATGGTAAGGGGCGTTACATTTCCGACGAGTGCTTGCGGTGTTCGGCCAATCACAATGCACTGGGTCAGCTGGCCAATCAGAGCAGACTGCGCTTGTCAGAAGGCGGGACTTTGTAGAAAACAGAAGTGTTTGAGAGAGGCGGGGCATAGAGGACCTACAATAATGTACAGTATTTGAAAAATAATGTGTTTTTTGAACATTAAAGCATGTCAACATATTCTGTTACACCAAATAACGATCTTTAAAAAAAGCATCATATGACCCCTTTAATATAGACGCCTCTTTGAGTTGACTAACTGCACCACAGATACTAAATTAAGCACACACACACACACAACACATATGAAATTATAATTTCCTTCCTGAAGTGGTTAAAATAAATCTTACGAATCGTGTAAAACAGAAAGTAAGGCATAAATACGAAAATACACCGAGTATTTTGCTTCATTCAGCACTCTGAATGCCCGGGCAAAGCCCCCCTTTAACCATTTCCCTCAAAAAACTGGCGTCACATCCGACTCCTGCACACGCTGAAGTGCACAATCAAAATATTAAACTTAAAATCAACGCTTATAGTTATTGCACACGCAAAATAGCATGTTCGAGCTTGAAAGCTACGGGCCGACCGCGCGCGAACAGCCAGAGCGCGAGGACACAGAAAAACCTCGCGCGTCAAACTCTCACGCGACTGTTACCGGTAGGCCGCTGAGCACCGATGCCGGTACACATCTAATGTTACTATAAAACCATCAGTACTGCTCAATAAGCTCCCAAATTGGCGTTTAGTGCCATGTCTGACTAATATGAAGACATTATTTGAGTGTGACGGTAAAAAAAAATAGCAGGTAAGTCGACGGTTATCTATTACCGGCAAAACAAAGCGCTGACTAAAAACCATCAACGGGGTGATCAAATGCAAAGGTATCCAAATATATAAGATGAATTACTCGAAGACGACAATTCTGGTTTACTATGTTTTATAAGAAAGGAAACGTCTAGAATCAACCGCGCGTGTTGTTTCGTTAGCCGACTAGCCACTGCTTCGTCGAGTAAATTAAGTTTCGCACCAATAAAGTCCAACTGAGAACGTAAGATACATCATGAATAATCCGTTTAATCATTTCGTGTATTTACATTTCATTCACATACACCGTAAACAACAGCGACTAATCGAGAGGAGTTGACCCGCATCAGTAAGCGTAACGTTAAATATTTTACCTTGCATCGTAGACCGATGTTCAAAATCGTCTCTGTCGTCCTCACTGCCGGACATATTGCTGATTACACCAGCTAGAGAGGATTGTGGACACTTGTATGCCGATTTCGCCTCCTCTGGTGCCTTCCTGAAGCCGGGGGAGACAGAAAATAAAAGAACAATACAAACGGAAGTTAATAGTCACGGTAGCATGCTGATCAGTGGTCACTCCATGCCAAGGAAGCACAATCCCAAAAGCGTGCAAATATATCTAACAATAGTGAACGAATATCATTTGGTTTAATGCAACTGAAAAAAAGGGCATGCTTAAACTTTTAAAATACGCGGCTGAAACAAGTTATGGAGATTTAATGGGCAAATGGGGCATGATGCGAGAGAGGCATTAGCTAAGCAGGCTAGGGATGCTAACCTGCAAAGTCTCCATAACTTTTAAGATTCCTTTCATTCTGCATGCATTAAAAGATGTCATAAATAAAAACATAATTAGAATAAATGTAGTGCAGTGTTAGAAAGTGTACTCACACAACTTGACCTGTTCCCTTTTTCAAAACAAACAGCTAATTCAATCTAAGATGTCCCCACGTTGTATAGGCTCCTTTTCATCAACCCTTAAAAACAATTTGTTATATCCCTGTTTCTAATGAATATGTAGTGAAAGTGGATCCAGCTTATGTTTTTCTCAGCTGTAGGATGCACACAACGTCGCAGTTTCTCCTTCTGCCACTTACACCCTTTGCATAGACACAAAGAGATCAGGGGCCAGACATCCCATAATAATCTCCCTCCCCATATTCACACATACATACAGACATTCACCCTTCCCCCCACCGCATAGTTACCTTGCAACATACAGACCATAATAACCCCCCCCAACCAAAGACAGACCCTCTCTTCCCCATTCCGCCCGTGCACTTAGCAACAGTTGCCATGGAAACAGCCACCCCCCCCCAACAACCAAAGACAGACCCTCTCTTCCCCATTCCACCGTGCCCTTAGCAACAGTTGCCATGGAGACAGCCACCCCCTCCCACCCCAGTTAACATCCCATAATAATAAACATAGTCACTGACATCCCACAATAACCATAACTCCGAAAAAAGAATGAACGGGAACTGAGCCGGAAGAGAGAGAGAGAGAGAGGAAAAAAGTCGATTAGCAACTCCTCGCCAGCCTGCTTCCTTATTACAGTTCTGTATTTACAGTAGACATTTGTGAGCGTATAAAACGCCATATATGATCCAAACTTAAAGTTAGTGCTCTTCAGGCCAATGGCATTTTAGCATGCAACTGTTCTGCCCGCATGCAACCAACTTTGATTTGGGGTCCAAAAATGAGCCCAAATGGCAGATAATACACTCTTAAAAACATAGGTTCTTCATTGGCACTGATGGTTCAATGAAGAATCTTTAACATCCATGGAACATTTCCATTAAACAAAAGGTTATCTATAGTGGAAAAACATTTTAAAATGTTCGTTACGCCAAGAAAAAAGTGGTTCTTCTGAGAGCTCTTCACTGAAACGTTCTTTAGGTAACCAAAAATCGTTCTTCTATGGCATCACTGTTAAAACCCAGTTTTGGAACCTTCATTTTTAAGAGTGCATATCTGGTTTTGGATTTTTAGTTTCAAGGCCATGTTCAAAGACAGTCTACCTCTCAAGTTCAAATCTCACATTGATAATGCTGCTGTATAAGTGTTTAAAATGGAATTGGCACCATTTGATTGAGGCCTTCAGAAGTTATAGATGGGACATTGGGACCCCGTTTGTCCTCCTCAAATTGTCACCATAGCTAACCTTTCGCCATCTTCACCCCATTATCATCCACATGGATTTCTTTGCATGCAGAGAAGTAAAATGACAAACACTGACGGCTCTTGAGGCACATATCCATCACAATGCAGCACATATGTATGCACACATATATAGAAACAAATGTAATTTCTTGGGTGGGGGGATGGGGAGTGGTAGGCACCATATAGCATAATTACATATCAAAGAAATATAGAGGTGGTTGTCATGACAATCCACTCAGGCGCACCCCTCCTCCACACTCCAAAGCACCAAATATCCAGTAATAATGTCTCAGCCAAAAGAAAACACAGACCATAATATTCATCCTGTGCTGGCAGTTGTCATGGCAATATGCAAGAAAGAGGTGTTTCTGTGTGTGTGTGTGTGTGTGTGTGCGTCTGTCTGTCTTTTGGGGTGGTGGGGGGTGTAAGGGAGGGGTTTCAGATTACCATGCATGCTAAAATGAATACCATAATACTCCTTTTACGCTTTCTCTGCTAGTTCCCTCCTCCCCCCACACCCGCACCGAACCGAATGTGACTCCATAACTGGGTGAAAGAGCCACATATGGACACCATCAGAGATGGCTACTGATAAACTCTTAAGGGACGTTGAATTTGACCAAAAAATGAAAGCAATCAGGCCGTGATTTCAATGACTGCACTCGATCGTTTCTCAAATCACTAACTTTGCTTGTGCAACTATAGTAAGCTTAGTACATTAAATGCCTTTGGAAATAGTAATATTTATATTAGTGCTAAATGAGCATTTGTTTTAAGGGTTCTTACTCAATTCAGAAAAAGAATGTTGCAGTCTTTCTGTTTCATGAGGTAGAAATGCAAATATCATTCTCTCACATGCGAATCTTCTACAACAAAGCCAGATAAAAAAAACACCTAAATATAAAGAGACAAAAATGAACAGTCCCGAATGTGATATTCCCTCCCCCCTTAAAACCGGCCCCTCCCCCTCCCTAATGGCCCAGACATCCCATAATATGCCCAACGACTAGCACCCCCCCCCTTAATCTCATCCTGAACCCAATACTAAATCATGCAAAACTGCATAAACTGATTTCTGCATTATTAGCTACTACAGGTTTACAGGTTCATATCTCCGACACTGACTAGATGTTATCCTTCAGTAGGCTGGTTACTTGTTTTTTGCACACCGTACAGACATTTACACACAATGTTCATTGTAAACATGAGGAAAAGAGAAGTAATTGGTCAAGGCTTCCAGAATGAACATTATGAATATGACACATTCGATATACATTACCATATAATGGCTGTGCCATTTCCATATCCTCATATTCCCCACCCCCATCATATTCCAAAGCATTGCAATCGATTCATTTTTATCACATGGACCTATTGTAGTTCTGTAAGTAAACAATGGATGTTAATTATAATGCATTAGCTTCAGGGCCCCTGCTGCAACACACTATGAAATACAACACACATTACTGTCAATAGTTTAGATGTGTAAAAAAACAACAACATTCTGATAAAAAAATAAATAAATGATGCATGAGACGCATGGGGCACTGCAAGAGATAATGAGTAATTTTCCCAACCTGCAACCGTTACTATTGGAAACATTTGAAATCAGGTCAAATGCATGCTCTTTATTAATTCATAATGCATTTAGGCGCACTGGGTTTGTCTTATTTATTTGTAGATCACATGGAAATAGATATAGGCTATATTCTCATATGGAATGAATTCAGATCACAAACTGAATAGTTAAATAGAAGATCAAAAAAAAAAATTCCAGTAAGTGTCATGCTATTTTGTACTTGGGATGACTTGCACACTGTAAAAATGATATGATCAATGAGCCAAGTCAGCATATGTTTTTCTATTAGTAAAACTTCAAATTAATTTAACCATTTTTAAAGTTCTATGAGATTTAACTTGATTTTTTTGTAATGTCAGTTTAATATAAGTCAGCAGCTGAACTCAAGTTTTTAAGTTGAAGTAGGTGGACATTTTTAGACCTTCCAAATACACTGTAGTCACTATATTTTTGCTACATAAAGCTTTCTGATCTAGTGTCTGGAGTGGTAGTGTAGACAGAGTCTATACTATGAAAACAGAACGTCTCCAGTAACTGACTCATGGCATCTCCTCTCTTCCAGATGTGCTTGTGAGATACTGTATGTGCTATTTTTAACCAACCAACCAACATAACGCAATGGTAAGGTTATGATTGCAATTTCTAGCACAGCAGTCTTAAGAATGGTTTGGATCCATATAGGGTGTTTATTGAAATCCATAATCCAACTACAGTAAAACTGCCTGGAGAACAAAACATCATAAATCTTGTAGATGTAAACCCCAAAATTTTAGGGCAAGACTAGGAAACACTAAAACATTTAAACAATTACTAAAGAGACTGTCTGCAAAATTAAGTGTGTATTTACTAGTTGAGTGTTTGACTATACCAGGGGTGCCCAAACTCGGTCCTGGAGGGCCGGTGTCCTGAAGAGTTTCGCTCCAACCCCAATTAAACACACCTGAACCAGCTAATCAAGCTCTTACTAGACATACTAGAAATTTCGCGGCAGGTGTGCTGAGGCAAGTTGGATTTAACTCTGCAGGACACTGGCCCGCCAGGACTGAGTTTGGGCAGCCCTGGCCTATACTAATGATTTAGGGTAAAAGTAATCATGGTGACAGACAATCAGGAATTGACTGTTGAATGGTTGACTGTGCAATCTGGCATAGAGATATTGCTCCTCCTAGTGACCAGAAGTGATATACACAACCTGTAGACCCAGAGACATGTCCAAATACTTGATTATTGTATTTTTAATAGACATCTCGAATATGTGTATTGTTTTTTATTGGCTGGTTTAATTTCAGCAAGACTTGAGATACATTTCAGTTTGAGCAAGTTACAGGGTAATAGTGATTTGAGCTATTTGAATCCATTAAAGCTACCTTACATTGTTTAATATATGTTTACACTACTCTTATAAAAGTTTAAGTTTAGTTCAATTAATACTTTTATTCAGCAAAGAGCATTAAAGTGAGCAAAAGTAGCAGTAAACACATTTATAGTATTACAAAATATTTCTTTTTCAAATAAATGCTGTTCTTTTTTATTTTATGTTAATCAAAGTATCCTGAAAGAAAATGTATCGCAGTTTCTACAAACATATTAAGCAGCACAACTGATTTCAAGATTGACAGTAATAAGAAATGTTTCTTGAGCACTGAATCAGCATATTAAATGATTTCTGAAGGATCATGTGACACTGAAGTCTTACTCAGCTGAAGTGTTTCTATATGTGCTTTAGGTAGAACTTAGTTGTGAGTAAGGGGTCATATGATGCTGCTAAAAAGAACATTATTTTGTGTATTTGGTGTAATGAAATGTGTTTATGCGGTTTAAGGTTTAAAAAACACATTATTTTCCACATACTGTACATTATTGTTTCTCCTCTATGCCCCGCCTTTCTGAAAC